ACCCCTGAATCATTAATATTCCAGGATTAATGTGGTTTTAATTCCAAAACTTTTCTCACTTTTGCTTATCTCAACAAGAAATACTTCTAACATAAATATGAAAGAAAAGAATCCTCTCATTTTTGCCAAATTTCAGGTATTATACTGTCAACATAATGAAAACAATTAATTCATCAGATGAGACATATAACGGGGTCAAATCTAAGTTTCATCTAAAGTTAGATTAATGGATGGCATTAGTTTGGGGGAGGGTCTGACCTCCCACTAAAGCCAGCCCTGATTTGTAAAAAAGTATATCAATTAATATATTAGAAATTATCACATGCACTTTTAAGTGAATACTTATTACCTGGAATACATCTAGGCTCAGGATCCCACTGTCCATCATTGCAAGTTACTTCATGGCCACTTGATATACGTCTCAAACCTCGAAATTCATAATTACTATTGCAATGAACAAAAGATTTCTCCCCATGATGTTTTTGTGTATCCTCTTCATCCTGTCAGCAAAAAAACAATAAGAAAAACTGTACAAAGATTTTTGAAAAACAAAAAGTGCTAAGGTGGTTGAATCATCTTTTTATTATAAAATTTAGTCAAAGCACCGATTAAAAATTCCACATAAGCTCAAGTCCATGGATCTGCATGACCTGATCTCAGGCTCAGCCTTGATGCTGATTTTCACATGTGCAGCCTTTTTAGTAAAAGTGAATAAACAGAAATATGAATTAAGTTTATAGCAGACAGAAATAACATTTATTTGGGAAAATAAAAAATGGATATTGGATAAAACTAATAAACTAAGTACATAAAAATAATGATAACATTGGTATTTTTAGCTGGCTAATCAATGAATTGCAATTAATGTAATATTCTCTTTTGTAATATTGCATACAGTGTATTAAATTAACTACATTATAATTAATTAGTAGCTAGTCCTGCACTACTGTATGGATGACTTGATTTGAGCACAAGTTATTAAAAATGATAATAAGAAGTCTGAAAACCTAGTACTTGGAAGGAAGGACAAGTGTTAAGGATTTGTTTTAAGTGGAATGGAAGAGATAAGAAACAAAGAAAAATATACTCTTATCTTCTTGAAAAAACAGGCCATAGATGGCTAGTCGATTTGACTAGAATTAGAACTAATGTATTATGATGGGTGAAATTGAAATAAATATTCATAAACTATAACTCAATATATACAAATCAAACTGAAATTATAAAAAAAAAGCAACTAAACTTTCAATAGAAGTGAGTGAGTATCACTGAGAAGTGATTACCAAAACAAAAAGCCCAGCACAGAGCACATTTATAATTGAAGAAAAAGTGATATTATGGAGTCAACATACTGATGAATTGTGCTTTGGGAAGAGCAATTACAGCAACCACTGAGGTTTCTTTCATTTCAATAACTTGGTTGAAGTTACTACTTAAAACTCTGTTGCAATAGAATCATTCCACTAACTTACCGACCAAAATATCCCGTTTGTCAGCTGCTGCTATTGTACACTTTACAATGTAAGCATTGCAGGTTATTCATGTATGTAGCCAAGTCTCAATGAATGTATGAGGCTTAAATTCTGCCTGAAAAATGTAGTTATTTTCTACCAGATTGAACCAACAATGGCTTCTCTATATGCAGAATTGCTCAGGCTCCAGATATTTGATGATGTTGAGTGCTAGACCATCCATAACAAGCAGCAGATGCAGTATAATTTGTTCCTGGGTCAAGAATTTTCATGTAGCAACCTGTCAAAATAGCTTAAGAAAACAATCTAAGTTTTCATTCCCTGAACATTTAGACAACAGAAATGTACCATGCTTCCCCTCATTCCCCCATATTAGTTGTAGCAAGAGTGACATGCCACTGTACACATCAAGAAATTAATGCTGAGCAGATGTTAGCATGGCACTGGTTCTTCTCTATTGGTCAAAATTTTTTAATTCTGCCAAATGTTGAATTCCATTTTGTGCTCACTTGAGTGAAGTTTGCCATACCAACAATATCTTCATCCAAGGGCATTCGAGTGTGAGGCATAAAACACCAACACTCTTCCTTTCAGGTCAACAGGGCTCCTGAATCATCCAAAGAGTGTCACATATCTTCTAATTAAACAACACTGTAAACAAAGTATATATGCACACTATGTAAAAATTATCCATAGATCAACTTTTCAATAAGGATATCAAAAGAAAGAAAACTTACTTCATTAGGGTAAGGATTCCAACCATGATAATATCCACCATATTGGCGTTTAGTTCTAAAGTTACCATTAGCTAGAGGTAGGAACTGACAGTGCCCTAAACAATGTTAAAATAGCACCAATTAGAAGTAATATACATCAGATTACATAAATAATAACACAAGAATTAACAGGATACTTAAGGTAACAAATTTATATAAATGAAATTAATTATTTTTTGCAATTTCATTAATTACAGAAAGTGCTCTTTTAACAGTGTAATTCATACTATTAAAATAAGCTAATAATCTTAAACACACACACACCTACAGTAGAATGCTCAAAATCATTTGAAAAGATAAGCACACAATAAAGAAGTATTAGAAAGAAACATTGTTTTTAACAGCAATTTTAAAAACTAAAATAATGTCTGATGAAGGGTTCAATTCATAATACATTTTATATATAGCTGAGAGCCAGATCTAAGGAAATAGGTGAGAAGAAGGCCAAAATGGATATGGACAGATTATATCAATGAATGGTCAAGATCTAAAACATATTTAAACATTAACAGAAAGGCTAATAACAGAGAATTCTGGATATACATGACTGCTGACCTATGGAAGCATAAATAAAATGAAATTTTACAATATATATGTCTTGAGTGTGTTTCTTGGTTGGAATACATAGTTTTCAGTTTATCCTAAAGTTCAGTCGAGCTTGAAAGTTACTTGTTATTAGATATTAGAAGCAGTAAGACAAACAAATATCAATAATCTATTAAACTAAGAAACTTAAAGATCATAACACAAATAAATACAAAATTACCCCTGCATCAACACGACAGATTTTGTGAGCTCAATTCCATTCTTTTTAACAATTTATATAAATATATCACAGACCTTTGAAAAAATTATAAAGTTATACTTAATTAACTCATTAATGATACATAAACAAATACATAATACTGTTTATTTACATTATAATAGAGATGTTTTTACGAAGGAGTAGCAAATTTTTATACCTAAACCATGATTTCTAAGCACAACTTTAATAGATGAAAATAGAAACATGGGCCTAAATTTTCAGTGTCATTTTCTGTTATTCATGTTAAATGTACATAAGCCAATGATGAAGCATTTTACTTATTAATGAATAAACAGTTTGTTTTTTTATAAGTACCACGGATCGATGTGTGGTACTAGGTTGAAAGAGTCTTTAGTGGTGCTTCTTAACTTCTCAAATGATTTCTTTATTTTTGGTTGATGGAATGTAGAAAAATAACTTACTTAAACACTTTGGTGGATCAAAGGTCCAGATTCCTTCTTCCACACACTTCAGTACTTTAGATCCTATCATTGTAGTTCCCTCATCACATGCAAATATTGCTAGGGTACCAATAGTTATCTTCTCAGATGGAAGAACCATTCTTCCACCAACAGGTTTTTCAGGCCTTTCACAAGCTTGCTCTAGGATAGAAAACTTCATAATTACTGATATATTACTGTTCACACATAACATTATATATTAAGGTGATTGGATTTGTCTGTAAATTTACAAGATTATTAAAAATTGTTGATTTAAAAAGGGGGAACCATGTCTAGAATCTTTAATATTTAGGAGAATCAAAACAGGGATTTGTAGCTTGAGGAAATAATGTCATCAATACGTCTCAAACCTTAAGCTTGTTTATTTACCTTTTTAGCAATTGCACTTTGACTTTAAGCTAGCTATCTTGTTTCTGCATCCCTATTCCCCCTTTTTAAATTAACAATTTTTAATAATCTTGTTTCTTTAGTTCTTTTTTATGTCAATCCTGGACATAAATGAATATAATAGTAATACAGTCCTATTTGAAACAGTTCAGTTTAACGAAATACGTAGGTGGTGTATCATGCTCTCTTGAGAAACAATGACAATCTTTAGATTGGCTTCATACAGATTGGATGGCAATTGCTCCTGATATCATTACCACAATGTTATTGTAGATAGTGGTACTACGTGTATGATTACTATGGTGCATGGTGATCTACATACTACATGTTATCTATATGCTTGTAAAATATATATATAGCTACTATATTTATACCTTGTAGCTACATGAGGAGTCTGTAAACACTGGATTGGAGGGACTACTGAACTATACTGGAATGGTGCATGGACTGGATTTTGTAACTCCATGAGTTTTATACATGCAATGCATATTACCTAGTATACATTTCTATATATATATATACATGCAGGCTTTTAGGTTTTTATAATTGTAAAGCTGTATATATAGATAGCCATGTGAATCTTTCAAGTTGTATAGATGCATATGTATATATTCAATGCAAATATAAGCTAACGTGTCATTACATAATGGCATATGTATACAAATAAGCAGTTTTAATATTTCTTATAGTTGTCATAATTCCCCCTTCTTCCTCTTAGATTGATATTCTGCACACTCTACAAGGTCGAAAACATGTTAATTAACAATTATGAATTGATTATATTAATATGTCTTTCCCCTTCATTTCTGATGGAGTTCCGGTCATGACATTTCTACGACCCTCTTCCACTATGATGCCCCTAAGCTCTGGTGGGCCATCACTGCTGCATACTTTATTTGAAACTAAATATTTTCTAAATAAAATATGTAGCTACAAAATTTCTGCTTCACTTTTGCCTAAAAATGCCATCTCCTGCTTGCATGATTCTTGCCACTCCTTATAGCTAGCTTCAAGGATAACTACTCTGTCTGCAGTATTTATAAGATTTGCAATCATGCAGTGCTGGCTATAATTTGACATTTCAACACTTGCCATCAGACATCACTGTGATTGCCAATCTGATGCTGGAAACTGAGCTTGGTGCTCTCTTTTAAACTATGTAGCTTAAAGATTTCTTTTGTGGGAGATAGCCCTAGATGTTTGTATAACATTTCAGACATTTGTGTTAAGTTTTAGATATTTGTGTAACATGGCCTAAATCTATCATGAAGTGGTAAAAAAAAAATTATGATCTTGCTAGTAGTATCATGTCCAGATATGCAGGAATCCTATACATAAACAAATGATATGCAACATCAATACAATTGCAACAACAAGTTACTAATTTCTATGGTATATATCATGCCTTCCATATAAACATTACATTAAATCCACAGCTTGCACCCAGCTATATACATATGCATGTAGTAGGTTCTGAGGCTCAGACCACAGACTACATTAAAATGATTGGGTGTCAATGGTTATACAGATGTTATTTGGTAGGTAGTCATATTGATGCATTTAGAAATAGTGCCAAGGTTTTATTATGATACTCACAGCCATTTTTAATGTAAGCTGGTGGAACAATAATTAAATAATAATAATAAAGAACAAATGGACGATCCCTATTATGCCATTACCGTGGTTCATGATAATTTATTATTAACTATCACTAAATATGGAGTGACATAAATCTTTTTATCAAATAAACTGAATATAAAATGGAATATATCATCTATATTCTTTTCATTTTTAAACCTTTCTTTTAGTAACTGTAGTATATTAATTCTAAAATACAATTTTATGAAGTATTCCTTATTTTTTCTCTAACAAAACAAAATATTGACAAAATATTCAACATAAATTTTCTATTTTAACAAGTGAAGTAGTTAAGAAGTCAGTTGTATAACATTATGGAGTCTACGTGCTGTCTGATTTTAGCAGTGGTGAATTGAATGATAGATTGGACGTTACTGAATAATTCAGAAGAATAAATTAGTAGCATCAATGCTACATATTCTTCTAAATGTAGGTTCACCACCATGAATGAAAAAGAACTAAAAGCACCATATATGTAACTACCAGTTTATAAGAAGCCTAGTCTTGTCTTTTTGTTTTGTTTGTGGGGGGGGGGGGATTTGCCCTTGTTCAGTGTTATTGATAAGGAGTATAATTCAGTGACAAGTGTGAATCAAATGTTAAATTGGGCTACATATAAATTCTTTGCTATTGGTCTTTCAAGAAGGAAGTTAACCTAACTTGAGTTTATTCAATGTGGTGTGATGACAGCATGTATCATGTTTATAAGGAACCGTAAACACTGGATCAAAGTTCACTGAATAATAATGTTCAATACCAGATTTCTGAAAACTCATAACATCTCCAAGTTCTACAGCTTTAAAGTGAAGAAACATAAAAAAAAACACCAGTCTAACTTATGCCAAAATATTTCTAGAATCTTGTTGTGTCTTCAATATTATTGTGTTTTTTTTATGATCCAGGAATTACTTCTATTGCCAAGAATATATTTTAATATATATAATGCACATGTTTCTATCCAGAAAAATAATCTATATGCCTTTTCACTAAAAATACTTTTTGCTTATAGTTATAAACTTGTAACAATCTGAAACAGCCATGTTAAAAGAACTCTCAGCTCAAAATAGTGTTCTGAGATCAATGCTTTTTCAACTGAGTTACTAGGAGTATTTGGAAGGACAACTATAGTGATTTGTAGTGGTTGAATGAAAGAAGCAAAATACAATGATGGATTTTCAATTAGAAAAAAAATGCTTTATTATCAAATGACTAATCATGAAGTGGTTGGAATACTGTGTTATTACAAAGTTGAAAGAAATGGATTCCTTTATTAAACTAATAAAGCTAGATATATAAATAGTGTATTTAGTAAAACGTAATCTAAAATAAATTTTGCTTGAATATATGCTAGAGATAAAATGCACATATCCAGTAGAAAGTAGGAATCAAAAAAGTCTCAGCTCTCTTAAGACAGAAATGGTTCTGCTTAAAAAGCATCAAAATTTCAGTCACCATTAACCTTCTTGCTGCATCTAACCAACTAAAAAGCTGGATCACAATAACCCCTAAGTAACCCTGCTCCACATGACAGTCATAAAATAATCCTCTATATACAAGTAAAAGTATGATACAAATAACCTAAGAAACATAAACTAACATCTTGGACAGAATTTAGAACATATCCTTGATTAGATTTAGCATGTTCCAAATTAGAACTTAGAAAAATGTAAATGTTTTTAGTGAGATACATTTTAGTGGATGAAGGGAGACTTTGGTGAACAAGTAGCCTTCTATCACCTTATAACTGGCTGATGTTTCCTATTGATGCAAGTTCTTACCTTAGAATAACTTTCTTTAACATTTTTGAAAACAAATGTTATATTAGTATAATTTTCATTCACACCTGTCTACTTTGTTGCAGTGAAAAAATATTTAAACTGTAAAATTTTTCAGTTATATATGGTATTTAACAGTTATATAAGTCATAATAAGAAGTACTGTAGCTGTTACTGATGAACAGTATCAACATCATTATAAACTAGATCTTACAGTACCATCACTCATATAGATTAATGTTAAAGGATGTAAGAAATTGGAATGATGTTGTCCTTACCAAAATTCAGAGAACTTTTAAATACATGCATGCATGTTTCAAATGTGTAGCTGACAAAAATAGTGGAAAATATTTGCTATTCAAAATCATAAATGGATGTTTTATTACTATTACTGTTGAAAATTAATATTGTACAGATGTAGATTGTGCTCACATCTGTCTACTTTAATTTTCACAGTTGGAAGCTAAGAAAAAATCCATGTTCTGTTCACACTTTCTTATATTTTTACACTTGTAAAGTAAGAAAAAAAGGAACACTAATTGGTAATACAAGGACCTTGAGAAGATTTTACAACATTTTAATGGAAATATAGCAAATCAAACAATCATAACTAGCACATTAATATCCTTTTCAAAACCAGACCTCTAATGTCACAGCAAAATAATATTTTTTTTAAGATACAGATTTATATTTAATCTTATAAAGTGTCTTAATTAATAATAAAAATATCTGTTAAAAATAACATTATTTACATCCATCCATATTTAAACACAAACCTTAAAACTAAGATATTGGCAAAACTATTTGTTATTCATAAAGTAGCTGGTGATAAATGTTTGCCAGGGAAGGTGGTGTAATATAGCAAACTGTGTGTTATGGCAAATAGCTATGGATGTTGCAAGTGTTGCACAAAATGAAGAATAATTAAGAACATAAAAAAAAATCTAGAAAAAAAAATTGCATGTGGCAGTAGGGGTGTTGTGCAAATCAAGGTCTGTGGGTTAGGGTGTCGTTTGGTGAAAAAAGTTTGGGAACCACTACCTTACAGTGAAGGGCATATAGTAATAAGATATATTACAACAACATAAAATGTTCAATATACATTTATGTTTGTATACAGATGCAGACTGGCCTAATGAGACACCGAGAAAAACCTATTGGGCCCTCTTGGAAAAATATGTAGTTTTGATGACAAACTTGTGGGCCCTATCTAGTTTTTTTCCAAGTAAAATTTTATAGTCTAGTCTGCCCATTTGTACATGTAATAAAGGTATAGTTGATATGATCAGATGATTCAAGTCACATTACTGCAGAGACATTTAATGATGGCAAACTATATTGTCAAATGTATCAAATTTACACAATGCACAATCAGAGTTTTATTTTAAAACTTTATTTAAGCTTTGTAACATACAGCACACATAAGCACTCCAAAACGTTTTTTATAAAAGCAATCATTAATTGTTAATAAGAACTTCTAAGTGAAAGTAAAGAAGAGAGTACAATAACATGTCAACCACACTATATCTGCTATATCCAGTACCAATAAGGTATTTTGCTGAACACTAGGGCTCATCAGATGTGCTAAGATAAGACAGACATAGTAGTGGTTGAGAAGCTATTTATATTATCATATTGATTGGGAGTAACTGTTACAGTATGAACAGGTTTAAGTTGTTAAAGTGTAATTATTCCTCAATTGTTATTATCTAAGTCCCTATAAATCAGAATTAGGGTAGGGATTATTCAACACTATATTATTTATTTATTTTCATACCATATACATTATTAATTATAATTTTATATTGAATTAACCTGCTCATTATTCAGAACAACTGGCAAACCAGCAAGCTAGTCTTCTTTAAAAACTTGTTTTAGATTTATCTATTTATCATCATAAATTGATAAAAAAATTATTTGTTATAAAGCTATTTGAACAGACTCGTAATTTTGTAAGCATATTAAAGAAGTATAAAAATTGACATATAGTGTTTCAGTAATTGTTAAATTAACTTTAGTTCATAAACAAATCAAAGAATAGCTAAAAACAATAAGAGAAACAAAACTGAAATGTACTTTTGTGAATTAATGTGTTTAAGTGCAGACTAGAGGTCAGAAATCACGTTACCATAAAGACAATATGGCACCACTAGACAATCAGCCTTTGAGAGAGGCATAAGTCAAAGTATTGAGTTAAACCTTTTTTCTTTGTTCCACTCCTCATTTTTAACTGTTTAAATATTCATTGTGTATTTCTCATGGGAATTGAAATAAGCTCAAAATATATTTAAAAAAGACATACCAATACAAAAAGGTTCTTCACCACTCCACGTTCCATCTTCCAAACACCTTCTTTCCTTTAATCCATTCAGTGAAAATCCTTTTACACAAGAATAGCTGATCACAGAACCATAAGTTATGCCATTAGAAGATACACTTCCATCTTTAGGGGGTGATGGTTGTGGGCATTTTCTAACTGCAATACCAATATTTCTTTTATTATACTATAAGTAGCAAAATGCTACAAAGAAGTGACCAGTCAGAGTTTCATTAATGTTTTCAAATAACAAAACTGTAATAATTTTTTAAAGAACATATTCAGAAGTAGACTTCTTAAAAAGTAATGAGAACGTTTTGGATTGAAATAACCTTAAAATTGCTATGGAAGAAAATAAATCTTGGTGTTCTTGTTGATCAGTCTGTTAAGCCATTCAAGGAATATGCTGTTACCTATAGTGGTAGGGCAAATAGGATTTTAGATTGTATCTACATAAATACTGAATACAAGTCTAAATAGGTCATTGTAAAGGTCACTGGTTAGGCAATTTGGAGTATTGTGTTCAATTATGGGCTTCTAACCTCAGAAGGGACATTGAATTGTTAGAAAGGGTTCTTTTCTCTTGGAATAAGAAGAGTTAGAGGAGATCTGATTGAGGTGTTTAAGATTGTTAATGGAACTAATAGTGTTGATTCATCATATTTTTGTTCATATTTAATGGTGAAAATGTTAATGCTAGGGATATATAAATTTTGGCAGGAAAGAAGTAATTTTCAGCTAAGACAGCTTTATTTTCTAACAGGGTGTTTTGCCTCTTGAATGGATTGCCTTTGGATGTGGTGGATGTAGTTAATTTAAGGAAAATCTTGATAAGTATTTGAATGATAAGGGCATTTAAGAAAAATCTTGATAAGTATTTGAATGATAAGGGCATTTAAGAAAAATCTTGATAAGTATTTGAATGATAAGGGCATTCAAGGAAAATCTTGATAAGTATTTGAATGATAAGGGCATTTAAGGAAAAATCTTGATAAGTATTTGAATGATAAGGGCATTTAAGGAAAATCTTGATAAGTATTTGAATGATAAGGGCTGGCTTTGAGTTTTTGGTTTTTAAGAGTTCTGAGTCGTTTTCTCATGCAAACAATGTAGTCATCAGTTCTTTCTTTTCTGCTGTTTTTTCTTCTGCAAAACATTGTTATCAATTGTTTGAGAAACAATTTGTTATAAGAAATTTTTAATTTTTACCTATTTCTTTACGAACAATTAATACACTTTTTCTGCATTTTTATTATTTAGCAATGAAAATTTACTAGAAGTGATTAAAGATTCTGAATATGTATAAAACTATTTACAAGCAAATTAACTGGCCTGTTCAATAATAGCTGAAAAAGAGAATGTTATAGAAGGACATAGATGAAAGTCTGAATGTTATAAGTATATACATAAATATAGAAATGAATTTGTAGAAAGTAGAGAAGATAATTTCAACAAATTAGAACACAATATGTATTTTATCAATAGTAGAAATTAATATTTCAAACAAGATATAACATGTAAAAAAAGTCAATCAAGAAATGTGTTATTCAGGTTCATCAATGTCCAACAAAAAAAGCTGAAAACTCCTGCAAAACACAAGTTTGGTACTGTTAGGCAAAGAATAAATGGAACATGGACAATAAAGGAAAACAAGCACATAAATATTACGTATTGCATATAAACACTGTTTTTTTTTAGATAAACTGGCCGGGTTGTCTGACTGCTGGTGTTGATAAGAAAAAATCTAGTACAAGAAAATCAAGAGCAGGAGACTGACTTATGCAGCCTTTATCTGAGTAAAAGTATTGGCATATGTTAACATCTGGTTAATGAGAATGTCATAACTACATGCAAAAACTGAATGAACATTTATAAAAATATTACATGAATATACCTGGATAAAGATATGTTCTATACTAGTTATGGAAGGGTGAAATTATGACTATATTAGTCATTCTACAAAAAATAGCCAAACTATACACCTGGAAAAAAGTTAAGCACCCCCGTGTTTTTTCAAGTGATTCAGATTCGATGTTCTTGTGACTGATTATAAATTACCATTCAATCTAAACGTGTTTATCAAATGAAATTATGCATTATT